CTGATTAAACTGTCAGTTCTGTGAGGAAAAGCAAAACTATCGACCCAAGTTTATGACAATGACAGGGACGTGGTTGATGAATCCTGAACACAGAGTGAATAACCATCGTCTGCCCAGGGTAGAAACTTCAGGATCATTCTAGACCTTTCCCTGCTTCGTTCCCATAATGGTGACCACAGCTGGCACGTCCTTGGCCTTCCTCGGTCCGGGGCTGACCTGAACCAAGTCCTCGAATCCTCCAACAGCCCACAAGGCAAGATGGCTGTTCCCGCTCTGCAGGCAAGGGAGCTGAGCCAAGAGAGGCGCTCACTCGGGCGGCTCAGGGGTCCACGGAGTCCCCGTCCACTGGCTCTCAGTTCCCCAGCACCTGGTCAAGTCTGTCCCCTCCCCAGCCCAGCCTGTCTGCCTGTCCTGCTGCTGCTGCCCAGACCCACAGCGTCTCTCACCTGGCCAGCTGCCACTGTCCCACAGGCAGTCCCCGCAGGTGCCCCTGGGTACACGCCAGGCCGCAGCCTCGCCTTCAGGGCACCTGGGCCTCGTAGCCTCCTGAGCCCTCCCCTTCCCAGCTGCCTGGCTGGGTCACTCCCCGCTCTGCCTAGGAAAGCCCTCCTGCCTTCTCTGCCTGGTAAAACCCTCATCCCGGACACTCCCAGGAGGGTGGGCTCCTGGCTGGGTTTCCCCGACACTCCTCGTGTGCCCTTTGGAAACTTCATTATCATATGTCAGTGTCGTCAGTGTTGTGGGTGTGAAGGACTGGTTGGGCATGTCTGTGGCCCCTGCTCCCAGGGGGACAGGGACCCTGTCACAGTGAGATGTGGCACATGACAGGTAACTTTGTGGCTCTGGAGCCAGAACCCTGGAAATCACCCCTACTTGCTGTGTGACCTTGGGTAAATCATTTAACTTCTCTGTGCCTCAGATTCCTCATCTGAATGCTACCCACCCCGCATGGCTGTCACAGGGGTTGAGTGAAGAAGTACAGCACCTCCAGCAGCCCCGGGCACCCAGTGCTGTTGGGGGTCCCGTCCCCGGGTGTCGGCCTCCTCGTGGGCTCTCACTGACAGTGTGTGGGCTGAAGGAAGTCCTGGAAGCTGAGAGCTCTGCGTGGACCTCACCTCTCAGGGCCATCTGTAGAGCCTGCACTGGGACTGTCCCCACGTTACTGTGAGGGACAAAAGTGGTCCCAGCCGGGAGCTCCGGGTCTGCCTGCAGCGCCCCTGCTCTTAGAGGCTGCCGTGACCGGGGACGATGCGGACAGAACACAGGCCTCTGAGTCACAGAGAGTGGGGAAATCACTGTGAATCTGTTTTTCCAAATCACGTTATTTTAACTGCTCTGGGCTGATCCCCACGTGAGCAAGGACAGTAGACGGGGCCAGGGGCACTTTGTCTCCTGAAAGGCCCCATTGTGACCCCGAACTGGTCCCAAGTGATTCCCGGAACAGCAGGCCCTTGTGTGGGCCCCGCAGGCCTGCTCACTCCGCCCCCGGCTGGCGTGAGGACCCTCTGCTCCTCTGTAAGGTCAGCACAGGAGCCTTAAAGCCCCCATTTGGCTGCTGCTGGGTTCTGATCAGAGATGCTTTCTTGAGTTTGGTTCTAGGATGTCAATGAAGCTCAGCTCCTGTAAACTGCATCCTCTCCAGGAGAAGGGCAGGTCCAGTGGGACCGACTGTGAGCAGAACAGGGGCCAGGGGCCTGGTCCCAGAGGAGGACTGCATGTGGATGAAGCCCCTCCCAGGCCACCCTGCCCTGCCCTGGGAAGGCCACCAGGAGAATGCCCCCAGGAGGTGCCCCAGAGCCCCATGAACAAGGGGGCCCCAGGCACTGCAGTCACAGACGACAGCCTCCAACACGTCCTGGGTGGACGTGACCCACAGCTGCCTCTTGCTGTGGGCGCTCTCCTGACACACACCCTCAGCACATGTTTGTGGGGACCGTGGTTTCTTCTGTCCTGCAAGCTTTGGCTCCTGGTCACATCGGAGACATCAGCTTCTTCCTGATCCTTTCTCAGGCCCATGCAGGCATTCAGCTCTTTGTCCCAGGAGCTTAAAAAGCCCCATTTCCTCACCTTCTTTACAAAGCATCAGCTGGTCTGGGTGGGCCTTTGGCTTTGTGGAAGCTGCAAAGTGGAATTCGGCAGCTGCCTGAACTGGCATTGTCGTGACTTTGCAGCTCACAGCAGCCAGCCCCTTTCAACAAGGATCTCACTCAGCCACGTGGTCTGGGGCTGCCCCTGCCCGTGGTCTGGGGCTGTCCCGAATGCCTGGCTTAATCCTCCTCTGAAGGCCCCTGCCCCCTGGCCTCAGGTCCACTGCAAGGTCTCGTCTCACTGTCACTTCCTGAGAGGCTGGAGGACAGATCCGCATGGGTACAAGTCTGGGTTCCCTAGGGCTGTAAGCAAGCACAGGGCCCCAGGGACAGAAGGAGCAGGCCCGAAATCCAGCTCCAGTTCTCCCCAGCTGAGTGAGTCTGCTTCCTCACCTGTAAAGGACAGGCGGGGCATGTCCTGTGGTCACGGGGAGGATGACAGGAAGCTATACAGATGCAAGGTCCTTACCTAGTGCCTGGGCCAGGCAAGAGCTCCTAGAGTGGTAGGCAGGGTGGTTATGCAGGTGTGGATGTGGGTTCTTTGGGCTGCTTCAGTGTTGATGCTTCCTGCCCTTTGGTCCAAGTCAGGGCCACCAAGCAGGCAACATCTCAGGAATGTGCCACCTGTCCCTGGGGTGCCACCAAGCTATGCCCCAGAGGAGGCTCCCTCCTGCCCAAGACCCAGAGGCAGAGAGGTGAGGCATGCCGGCCGCAAGAAGCTTTGGGGGTCAGATACCATCCTGCATCTCCAGGGACCAATGTCCCCAGCACATAGTAGATGCTCAGTCGATGCCCCTTCTCTGCAGTCTGACACCTTTGAGCTATTGCTCAGCAGGCTCCTTAAATGCCCCTTCCCCAGCCCCTTCCTCCCCAGGCACAAGGGCTTCCAGGGGGCAGTGCCCTAGCAGGACCCTGCCCATCAGCCAGCACTTTTACTAGCAAACACTCCCCAAGGAGCTGGATGCAGAGCTGAGCAATGAGATGCATGAGCAACAGATCTGGACCAGGGCGGGTTCGGGGAGAAGGGTGGTCTGGGGGAAGGAAAAGCAAGACCAGGAAAGAGCATCGTTTGAAGCTGACCATCCCATAATATTCACGGAGAATAGGATGCAAATCAAACACCGAATGAAACTGCGGATTTCACTCTGACTTGGGTTGAGAGGAAGGAGAGAGACTTGTATCAGAGCATCATCTGCAAAGGCTTGGACTAATAAGGGTTTTATCCTGAGACCAATTTGCAACCGAAAAAGAGAAAATAAAGAAGGACTATATTAAGGCTTCTTTCAAGAGAATAATTAAAATTTCAAAACATTGAGAAACCCTTGGGAAATTCAACTAAGCCTTTGCCTTTGGTTTCTTTTGCATGAGGGTCAACAGTGCGCCTCTGTCAGCATCATGGAGCTGGTGGCTCACAGGAATGCGATCAGAAGGTCTTGTAAAAAAAATGAGACTTCTCTCAATCAACACTTGATTGCAAATTTTGTTAAACACGTGACAAACTTCCCGTCATTTCTTAATTTGTACTTTAATTTTTCCAGGATAAAGCCCCAATCAAACCTTTTTCTCCTAATTTACAAGGGGGTTTTTTACTTAAATTTCATTTGAGTGGACTCACTAAAAGTGGCCCTTTTCTGGAATAATTATCCTGGGATAACAAAGGACATCCTGGAGATGCCACTGAGACCCAATTTAGTCATGGGGTCCCCAAGGTGGAAGGGAAGGAAAATGTCAACTAGTTAAACCTCCGCCTGAGGCTGGAAGCTTTGCCCTCATGGCCACGAGCCAGAGGTCAGCCAGCCCTGCCCGTCCGCCTCCACGGTTAGGGGCTGAGCAGTTTCTGAGGCTCCTGGTCTGGAGCCCCAGCTCTGGGACATCATGGATTCTTCGAGTGAAGGGATGAAGGAGCACTTCATGCCAGGAGCTGACTCTCAGGATTCCTCACTGAGCGCCCCCTTCCCATTATCTCCTCTCCTTTCAACCCGGGCATCTCATCCCAAGAATGTGGCACTCAGCACTTGTCGCCTCAATTCCTGTCACTCTGCAGTCTGGTCCCATTCCTCCCCTATGGAGTGGCCCAAGGAAATTGTAAACACAGCTTATTATCCACATCACTAACTGGAACAGAACACACAGCCCACTGCCCAGAACATCTCTGATCAGCTTCACAGAGTGAGAGGACACTTCTGCACCTGGTTTCTTGTGGCTTGAGGACTTTCTAATTGAGCACAGACCCCTTTGTCCTGTAGGAAAAAGAAGGGGACCCCCCAGGCTGGTACTTGGTGAGTTTCCAGAGAGGGTGAAGCCATCTGAGGCCCCTGGTAGCTAGGGAGCGTGGGAGACCAAGCACCGGACTCCCTGAGCGCAGTGGCCGAGCACACACAGCTATCATCTGAACTGCCACTGGATGCCGCCTCTAGAGATTCAGTCTAAGCCCAGGATTCCTCAGAAAGAAAGCTGGAAAGATGGTCCTGATACTGGGGAGTCAAAACAAAACCACAAACACCCAACAAAAGGATTAAACATAAGGCACTTTATAAAGTATTTCAAAGCTTTATCATCTTCCCCCGTGGACATCTGCAAGGACTTGTTGGGTGAGTTTTTATCCTTATGACAGGGAGAATCTCCATGAAGACTTAGAAACACGCCACCAGATGGGGGCTCAAAAGAGCCTGTGGAAGATTCCAGCAGAGAGTTCGCAAGATCCGGTCCAGGGCTCAGCAGGGGATCTTTGTTCCATCGTCTCTCAGATCACAGACCCCACACTCCACCCCACCGCCCCCTTTCCAAATAGGAGATGACCCTGAAAGAAAGACGGCTCAGTAGTTGGAGGTTAAACATGGCAAGTCCCAACCCTGACAGGAGGGGACATGGAGAGTCAGCATAACACCCACAAAACACACAGCGTTGCTCTTGTTTTGGTTTCTTTTTTCCACCATGGAGAGCATTTCTGCATGCTAAAAAGTTATGCTGGAAGGCGGCCAATCAGTTAACACCGTCTGGGTTTTCAGATGAAGTTTTTTTCCTCCTTAAGGAAAACCACTTCCATCTGATTAAAGAAAACCATGCATGTTCCACGTACAGCAGAGTGGCTATGGATGAAAACACCTGAAACCAAGATAAATAACCATTAATGGGTATGAGGGGGGAGAGGGCAAGGCATGGGTCATCCACACTGGGCCAGCTGCTCACATGGCACTTGGATGACAGACCTGAAGTGTGTGGACCACTGCTTCCCATCACCCACACAGACATCCTTTCTTGCTGAGCACAGATGTGGCCCTCAATGCTTTCGGCACAGAGCTCCAGGAAACCTAACGATCCCCTGGATGTGGCGTGCAAGGTCCACTGTCTCCATTTCACATCATGATGCTGGTGCCAACAACTGGAAATGGGCATCCACAGAGACCCCTCAAATGATACTCACAGATGAGTACCAACTGCTCTCCGTGGGAAACTTGCTTCCTCCACACCAGGAAGAGCCGGGTCCACCAGCTGTGAGCCCAGCGGCCTCGGTTGGAGAACACGAACACAGGGATTGCTGGCTCTGGTGAAGGTCTCGATGCTGCCAGGACACCCTCAGACCCACCAGAATGTTATTCTAGGATCATAATCTCACAGACACGGGCGAGGAGCCAGGCTCACAGGACTGAGGGACAGGGACAGGGAGGTGGGATTGTGAGATGCTGCAAAGGAGGGGCTTCCTGAGAAAGCTGCTGGGAAGATGCAGTCGGCTGTTTTGACGCTGCGAACAAAGGCCCTGGAAAAGTGGCAAACGGTCACCTGTGGCCTGTCAGGCTCCTGACGTGCTGTGCTCACTGGGCACCATCTACTCCTAAAGGCCCGCTGCCCCCGAGTCCCATATCTGCTCCTGGATCTGTGACCTGGGGCGTGGGGTCAGGAGTGTCCAACCAGGCACAACACTTAGGGCGGCTATGCGTCCGTGACCCGTGAAAATGACCACAGACACCAGCCGTCACCGGGCCTGCCCTCTCCCACCCCACACAGGGTGAACCCTTCACCCTCGTTTCCAGAAGCGATGAGTAGGCTGAGTATTTGATCACACGTCTGAGAAAGCTCATCCGGGAACTCTGAGGCAGCCTGGCTGAAAGGAGCAGTCACCATGGGTGAGCAGCCCCCCAAAACACCTCAGCCCGTCAGGCGGGAGCAGGTTACTGTCCGGGCAACTCCAGACCCAGCGAGAACCCTTGGCAGAGGCTCCTCAGAAGCCCCCACAGGAACAGGACACAGAGCTTAGTTTCCAAGTGAGGGCAAGAAATGGCAGCTTGGGGACACGGACAGCAGGGACATGAAAGGATATCCTTACACTTTCATAAACCCCTTTCCCTCAATGGCTGCCATTATTGCCCCCCACTGTTAGGATCCAGAAGCCTCCAGATCTCTGCAGAAATTTCCAGCTCCCCTCAGTCAGCTCCCACCAACCCCAGGGATCCCTTTGGTGCACACACTCTGCTGTCAGCAAACGGGGGAGAAGCTCAGCTTCTGAGGCAGGTCCCAGTTAGGAGTCACAGAGGGCGAGAGGCAGGCCAGATGCTCCCAAAGGCCAGGGGTGTGTGGAGAAGGTCTTGAGACACCTCCCACAGCCTGGACGGGCCTCCCCGAGACCATGGGAGGCCGTGTGATGGCTGGGCAGGGTCTGGGGTTGAACCCTGAGTGACCAGGACTCCTTCCCCCTGTGTATGGACACAGCTGATATTCTGAACAGAAAGGCGGGACTTCACATTGAACTGGGCTCATAATTCACCTTGATGGTTTCAGCCCAGCGCCCCTGCCTGCTGAGGACATCGTGATTTCTGGTTCTGGCACTCCTGACTCTGTCTGGGCGTGCTCACGTTTCTCCAACTCAGCTAACAGAAAGGGGGACACATCAATTGTGGACTGGATAAAGAGACGCTGGGATAGTCATGAATGGAATACCCTACAGCAACGAGAAGAAACACACTGCATCTCCACCCAACAGTGGGACGAGCCTCACAAACCTAAGGCGGAGAAAAAGAAGCCAGAGAGAAAAGACACACACTGTGCAATTCCATTCACATGAAGTTCAAAATCAGGCGAAATCAAGCTAGGCAGCTAGGAATCAGGTCCATGGTCATCCTTGGTGTGGGTGCACAGTGATGGCGGCAGCACAGGAAAGGGGTTTCTGGGAGCTGTTTATGATGCTCTATTTCTTAATCTGGATGCTTGTTACACAGAGGGGTTCACTTTATGGAAAGTCATCAAGCTGTGCACTTGCATCCTGCTCACTTCTCCGGATGTGTGTTGCATTTCGATAAAACGTAAAGAGAAGTTGGAATACGGTAGAGCCCAGTCGTTCTCAGCTAGAGATCTGTCCAGCGGGCAGGGGCATTAATCCACCCTATCTGTGTTGTTCCGTCAAGTGGACCCAGTAGCCAAATTCCTTCTACGTGTCATTACTGCTGTCCACAATAACTTTACAGAGGTTGTTGTCAAAGGCCTTGCTGATGTCTGTTTGGAGAGAAGGCTTCTGGGGTTGGGATGGGGGAGGTATAAGGCTCTCTAGATGAGGGGGAGATGAAACAGAGTCATTTGAAGGATGGAGGAGGAAGTGGATGACCAGCCTCCCAACGGAAGGAAGAGCATCCTAGGGGCTGCCTGGCTGTGCTACTGTTTAGAAACCAGCCATCTTGGGAGATGAGCCAATATGGGAGACATTCCCACACTGTGGGACATTTGAGGGGTGCAGGTACCATGAGGTGGCCATGTTGATGGACCTGGGGAGTAGGCTGGGAGCTTAAGAGGAGCATGTGGCTTCCCCAGGGCAGGGGACAGGCCTATAGGGACCAGCAGACAAGGCTTTGAGGAACCTTTCCCAGAGCCCAACAGTGCCCACCCTGTGGGATTCTCTCAGCCTCTGCTCTGTCCTCTCCAAACTGGGGGGATGGCACAGCTTTGGCTCCTGGAGCTGACATCCTGTGATCTGTCACGACGTTTGACCTTGGGATTTCCATAATTCGGAGGTTGACCTCTAGAAATCTGAGGAGCACTATTTCTGAAACTTTTTCTTATTTTTTAAATAATACCCTTGGCTAGAAATACATTTGGAATGATGAGTCAGCACACGTGTGCAAGCCCACCATGCACGGCTCTGGAAAAAAGTTCTATGAAACAATATATTCTCTTACTCCTGTCATTCTGATCCATTCCATAAAAAGAAAATCCAGGTCATCACTTCACATTACCTCCCCCACCAGTGTGTCTGGCCCCGCAGTGGAGAACGTTCCTTTTAGAGCTCAGATACCTGCACACACCATGCCCCCAGTCACACACAGTCGGCCCCCACGTTTGTTCTGCTGACGGGGTGAACGAGGCTCAAGCCCTGCTCCCCCTCAGGACTCCTGTGAGGCCTCAGCAGGAAGCTGTTCAATATCCACAGTCCTCGAGGGGAAGGGACAGGAATTGCCATCCCATTTCACAGAGGAGCAGGCTGAGGCTCAGGGAGCACAGGGGACGTGCACGGGGAGCTGGAGGAGACATGACCTCTGGCCCCTCCTCCTCCCACAGGTGCTCAGAGCTGTGGGGCAGGAGACACCATCACGAGGAGCCGAGGCCTGATTGCACAGCAAACACCCACAGCTTGGGGTCTGGACTCGCTGGGCCCAGAAGGACCACCCCAGAGCCCCAGTCCAGAGCCAGGGCCTGGGGAGACCCCGGACACTCGATTTTCACCCCAGGCCTCAGTCTCGCGCCCCTAACTGTGCTTCCATGGAAGACCGCTCAGGGGGCCAGGACACCCAGGGGCCAGACTCACTGCTCCAAGCTGGTGCTGAGGGTGCTGACAGGGCACCTGGCCTGACACCAGCCCCGCCCATTCCCAGTGACCCTGGAGCACGTTATCCTGCTCGTGGTGCCCTGGCTCTCCATCTGTGAAATGGGGATGACACAGCGCCCACACCCCAGGGCTGCTGTGAGGGTTCAATCGATCATTCACGGAGAGCTTGGACGGTGCCGGGCATCAGCGGTCATGTCCTCACACACCTGCCCTCTGCAAAGCCCACCCAGGCCAGGACCCTAGGCCAGCCCATGCCTGGGCAATGCAGCCCTGAGTGGGTGACAAAGGGAGTCTTGGGCACGTCTCCCCCCTTCTCTGGGACTTTGTGTCTTCATGATGAGGAGATGGTCTATTTCATTCAAAAGTCAGTGAACTAAAAACAGAGGGGAGGGCTTGGGCAGCCTTCCGCTCAGACCCCGTCAGTGGGCGGTGGGAGCTGTGAATATGGGCAGGTTGACTGGGGCACTCACCGTAGCAAAAACATTCTCAAGGTAATGTTCGTACGCGAAGCCATCATGTATAACGATAGTAGCCAAACCTTCCAGGATGGAGACGCTGAGATAAAACACGGAGGCAATACAGTGGTAGGCTGCCTCCTGCAGGGTTAAAAAGGGCCGTCAGAGAGGTAGGGAGCCCATATGTGGGAATGTGGGGCATCTGTGGTCCCAGCAGGGCCCATCCACCCCACCTGTCCCTGCCCAGCATGGCTCAGTTCCCTTGGTCATCTTCTGCTACTTCCTTTGACTCCTCCCACCCCATTCACCCATCACCATCCCCTCCAAACCACCCCCCACAGAGGTCGTTTGTCAGCTGAGTTTTATCTTGCTGGTCTGGGGGCAGAGTAAGGACTTCAGTGGAGAAGGGACACTGCTCTCCCTTGAGGGGGGATCAAGTGAGGGGGCAGCTTGCGACTGAATAGGCAGAAGTTGGTTCTGGACCTGAGAAGTGTCATACATGGTCACAGTCCTGGTTCCGATGTGGCCTCAGTGACCAGTGCAGGGAAGAGAGGCCCACGCCATTTCCATTGTAGTTTTGTTGTTCCTTTTCTCGGGGGGAGAGTCAGGGGGCTCCAGGTGTGTTTACAAGCAAAAAAGTACTGGAATGGGGTTCTGAGTAGTTGTAATTTGGAGGTGGTTTCACAAGTGCAAGTAGGAGACCTTTTGAGAGACCAAATGGCCCCAGCCCTTCTATGTGTAAGTTTTGCCCTCTTCATGGGCCTCAAGGCAGAATTTATGCAGAAAGGAGACCACAGGCCATCTCTCTCCCCCATCAGCTCCCTCTCTGGTGACCTGGCTTTAGAAGCTGTGATATGGAGCTGAGCAGTAAGCATGGCCTCACACCGGGCAGCCAAGACCAGCCCCTAGGACCCTGCTCCCAGGAGATGGAAACCAGTCCCCCTGGATGATGGAAGGTGCCAACAGGGCCCTGGCAGGTGCAGGTGGGATGGGAGGGGGGTTGGGCTGCTGGTTATCCATGAAAAAGGCAGTCACACAGGAGGAAGCAGAGCAGCCCCAATGAGAGGAGATGGTGACAGTCAACCTCTGCCATCACCTTTTCCTGCCCTCCTGGCTGCAGGGAGCCCCGGGCTGCTGTGCACAGCTCAGAGCTGAAGGCCGGGCCAGCTCAGCCTTGGAACATGGGTGGGAGATGTCTACAGGGCAGCCTCAGCCAGTACTGGAAAAGCCAGCCTCCCAGGGGAGATTGTCCAATACTACCCACCCTCCTCAAACATGCACTGCTAGGACTCACCAGGAAGACCCAGGAAGTCTCCTCATAGTTGCCACTAATTACGTACAAGAAGAACAGGACAGTGGTGTTTATGAAGCAGAACACGGACACGAACATCACCCAGCCCTGGGTCAGGGGGAGGGGCACCAGGGACGAGGCGATCAGGATCCACACGAGGCCCCCAAAGACCTGCAGAGGGAAGGGGGGCAGGGTGAGCATCGGGCCAGGAGAGCCCACGCCCAGGAAGGGCCAGACCCAGAGGTCACGCTGGGGCACGAGGGGCAGAAAAACAGGATGGAGGCAGAGAACAGCGGGGGGCATTTTCCTCACCAAGAATGAATCCTTCAGCCCCCAAGGCTCTAGCCTGATCTCCAGTCTCACTCTTGCCCAATGTTCTGCATGCCTGCCTTTATTCACTTTTAAATATAATTTAATTTTTTATTTAATGAGCACTTACATCACATTTATATGCCAAGCACTTTCCTAATCACTTTACAAATATTAACTCAGTTAGGGCTCATACAATCATCCTATGAGCAAGGTACTGACCCATTTGTCAGATGGGAAAACTGAGGAACATGGAAGGTAAGTAATTCATCATCCCAAGAAAGGACTTACACCATCCAGTGTTATCATTAGAAGGGGTAATTCTGAGATTATATCCTTCCTAGTATTTTTGATATAAAAATATCCTTTCTGTTATGAAAAGGTAGTGATGCGAAGATTCTTTAGGTCTTTATTGGCAAAATAAATTGGGCACACAACGTCACTAGCATTTTTTTTAAAAATTGGCCGCTTAAATCCCTACATCCAGGAAGTACTCTGAGTCACGGAGTTAGGTCTGGAGAGAGAACCCAGGTCAGCCTGGGCTTCTTGGGAGACTGAGGATGGCATGAGAGCAGCACTCCCCTGGCATTACCCAGAAGACACTCCAATTGATGTTCACATGGTCAGTGAGCCCCAAAGAGGAGCGTAAGGACAGATGAGGGGGTCACAACACCCCTCAGTGCCACAGTCCCGCTCCCCCTGTGGACAAGCACACCCCAAGCAGGGACTCTCTGTACTTCTCTTCCGCTCTTCATCCCAGTGACGTCAGCTCAGCCTCATCCACGATCCTCATGCAGATAAGCCCTGTGTTGGGAGTGGGCTGGGACACAGGGGAGATGGCTTTGCAGTCAGAGATTCCAAGGTACCGTGATACTTGCACCATCCTCCTGAGCATCTGGGGGCTGAGGACAGGCTGCTTCCCAGGCCTATGTCCCCTGTGGTGTGAACTCAAGTGGTACCTTGACCTCGCCTCCCTGACCCGCTACCCACCTGCTGGGTAAGAGACACCACTATCCTCACAGGGGTTCTCCGAGCCTCTTAGCTGAGAAGCATCAGGAGAGAATCACATTTGGTAGAAAAATCAGTGCAATGAAGAATCTGGAGGGATCAAAACCAAACTGGGCTTAATGAATCAGATCTGGGCATCTCTGCCCAGAAGACTTCCTCTACTGATGAACCTGAGATGGCCTGGAGGAAGGCACGTGACAGAGGCAGTGGGACACACTTTACAACTTAAAGTCACTGGAGCAAAATCAGTTAAATGCAAATCCTCAGACTGCCACAGATAAGATATGTGTGTCGCTTTCATCCACAGTTGCCTTTAAGATCAAACAGGTTACTTGGCCTTTTCCATCACGGGCACTGACACAGGAACATGAGCATGCTGATGGCTGAGATGGATTAGGATTCAGGAGGCATGAGAGTGTGGCATGGAGAGGAGGGAGGATCGGGCATGCCCATCCCGTGGGCAGAGGCAAGGGCCTGGGACACGCTTCTCCTAGGCATCCTTTTCCTGGTCAACAGGTGACCATCCAAAAAATACCAATCTAAGTTAGGTCCCTGTTCACGTGCTTTCAGTGAGCCCTGCACTGCCCCTTTGCAGCATCTAGCACAAGACAGGTGGATCTGGTTAGTCACAAAGTGGCACTGTCCCTACCAGGTGAGGGGCGGGGTGAGGTCCCCCTTGCTCAGGTTTGACTCTTGGGTGTGGGACACAGGGAAAACCCGTCCAGCCATGTGTCAGTGTCCGAGTTGGTTCCCTGACCTTCAGGGCCTCCTGGGAGAAGGGTGTGCCCAAACAAGTGGCTGATGGACCAAATCCCAGAGGAGCAGCTGGCGCTGCATGTGGAAGGGAGAGCCCTCCATGATGGAATCCCACTTGGGACCAGCGGGCCCGAGGTGCTTGTATGTTGCCAGTGGACATGGCATTGAGGGATGCTGAATACCATGTGGGGGAAACAGTTCTCTTTGTCACTCTTCAGTTTTTTGACTAAGGCAAGGAGAAGGGCTCAGGGGGCAGCCAGGGATTTGGAGCTCCCCCACAGCCTGAGCAGAGGTGACCTGGAGAAGGACATGGCTTTTATTTTTAAGCTAGTGACATAGCTATTCTGGACAAATTAACTGTAAAATACATAGGAGGTAAATTAAGGCACAGGGGTACCCTGGTCTCAGGCTCAGTGCCCTGGCCCTCGTTCAGCTCGATTCCTCCCCGTGTGGCTCGGTCAGGAATCAAAGGCAGGAAGAGTGAGGGGAAGTCAGAGCGCAGTCCCCACACTGACTGCTCATCACAGAGTCCTGAGTGAGCGCCAGCGAGACGGGGCCACAGCTCTGGGCTGAGCTCCCGGCCCCCAGTGTAGAGGGAAGCTTCAAGGTTACCCCGACTCTCCACCTGCTTTGGGTGTGCGCTTCCACCAGTGTGAGGAAGAGTATGTCCCAGCTCCCTAGGAATGCTCTCTCTCACACACACTCACACACTCACACGCACTCACTCTCACACACTCACACACACCCTTATGCAGATCCCCGGGGTCTATGGTAAGAATTCCATCCACAGGAACAAAGCCCACCCTGTGCTCCATCCCAGTCCTAACCCCTGGGACCAGAGGACCCTGTCCCGCCTCTGGGTGCACCACCTTACAAAGGGCCTTTAAAAATCACGCTGACTTTTTCTTTGTTTGGTTTCTCTGTAGCACTGAGTTTCATGGTAAGATGGCGGGGAGAAGTTTTGGACAGCTTTAATGAGAGAGAATTCACACACTATACAGCTCATCCATTTAAAGCAGCAATTCAATGGTTTAGGATATTTACAGACATGTGCAGCCATCATCTCCAGATACAATTTTAGCACATTTTCACCACCTCAAAGAAACCCTGTGCCCTTTAGCTACGGCTCCCTCCACCCCTCCCATCCCTAAGCGACCACTGACCCACTTCCCGTCTCTATGGATTCCCCTATTCTGAACCTTCACAATAGCTGAATCATCTAATAAAAGGTGGACTTTTGTGATGAGCTTCTTTCATTTGGCATAAATGTCTTTCCAGGTTAGAAATTCTCCCTTGAGGGGACCTTTACGAAATATCTCCACCATCACAGCACAGCCCACCGGCCATTCTGACCCACCATGTGGGGACACTGAGTGAATGTGGCTCATCTCTCTGGAGACTCCAACTGGGAAGAGCAGAGGAGCCTCTGGTTCCCAGGGACGTTCTCATAGTACACACGCCACCAGGCCCTGTCTGTCCCAGAAACATATTCTAAGTGACACGTCATGTGAAGGGAATGTCCTCACACAGAGGAAATGATTAACCCCTGGGGGTTTTGCTCCCAGGAGATGGGCTGTGGGCCTACCCTGTACCCCTCACAGCCCTGCCCAGCAGGTGCCCAGGGGAGAAATGCAGGGCGACCTGCACAGGGGACCACCTGGGAGGGGGTTGAGGTGGGTGCAGAACACCCCTGAGAGAGGATGGGAGGAGCAAGGAAAAGAGACAAAGCTGAGGACAGAGGGTCTATTCCAGCTGGATGTCTGTGAGCAGCGCCCTGGACACAGACACGGCTGCTGTGAGAGCTCCAGTGCGGATGCGTGCTGGAAGGGTCACAGCTGGAACAGCTGTGCAGCTGTGAAGGCCCGGCTCCTCCAGGGCACATGCCAGCTCCCGCAGCATCTGCACCACGCAGCGTCTACATGGGCAGGGGCACACGTGAGCCCTGGAGAGGGGCTCTCTCCCCGCATGTGTAGGAGGAGGCTGGAGCATGTGACTCAGCCTCCTGGGCCTCGGCTTCCTCGTCTGTAACGGCATTTTGCAGCTGTCTCCCCACACTGCAGGCTGGTGCAAACTGGCTGAAACCATGGAGGTGAGTCTGAAGCTGCTGGCGCTGTGCCAGCACCACCCAACAACTGGGGTAGGACACTGCTCACCAAGGAGGCCCACAGCCCGGTGGAGACAGATGCAGAGGCAGCCCGGTACAATGCAGGATGATGCCCCACCTGAGTAGGCCAAGCAGCCTGGACTGGGGCGTGGAGTTTTGAAGGGAGAGATGGATGTAACTGGCTGACCTGGCCACAGGGTCACCAAGCAGCTCTCCACGGGGAGGGACAAGTACACGCCGAGTGCAGAGGATGCTGGAGCACCAGTGAGGGCTTCAGAAGGCCGGGGAGCCATGCACGAGGTGGGGGACAAGAAGCGGCAGGAGAGGGGGCTCGAGGGAGGGTGAGCCTGAGACAGAACTGATCGCTGGGCCAGTGTGGAGGCCTCCAGGCCCCACTCAGTGCAAAGCTGGGATTTGGCGGGAATCATGGACACAGCTAGCACCTGCCGCCCTCCACCTACTCAGTGTGCAGAGAGCAACAGAGAGAGCGGACACTGCGCCCACACCCAGGGAGACCAGGCCTCCTGGGCAGGGAGCAGCCCACCCCATCCTGACATCAGGACCCCGCTGGACAAATACTTCTCAAGAGCAAAGGGGTAGGCGAGGGTTCAAGCATTTCCCTTCATAGAGAAAACTAAGCAGCTCCCAGCCTCCAGGCGGCAAAATGCTCAGAGGCGATCACCTTGAAACATCAGGCACACAAGTGGAGGCAGGGCCTCAGTTTCCCTTCGTCTCTGTCTACAGTACAGGCCAGACTTCCCCCACCCCCGCCTGCCCCTGGGTCACCGTCCTCCACACCAGAGAGGGTGCAGCTGGCTGGTGTGCTCTCAGACGAAGGTCTCTAAGTCAGGTGGCCGACAGTCACCTGGTGGAGCTCTCTCTCTGGGCCCCAGGTCCCCAAGCTGGAAAATGGGGGCGGGGCCTGGGTTAACGCTCTGTGGTTCTCAGCCCTCAGTCTACACTAGAGTCACTGACACACCTGGAAAAACACCGA